AATATATTAAATATTACTGTGCCCTCCAGTCATGTATCTCTCTGATACACATTCATTTTCTTCTTTCCCTCCTTTTAGTCTTTCTATCCTATCCTCCCTTTTATTCTTTCTTTCCCCCCGTCTTCTTCTCACAGGAGGTGGATGCTCCAGACAGATGTTAAAGTGTTTGGTCTGGTCAGGCTTCACACGACGCAGGGCCACCCGCGACTCTCCGATGAACTCATTATGTGTCAGCTTGTCTTCGTCGCACACGGACACCCTGGGAGATAGAGACAGGAAGGAGGGAGGGGGAGGTAAAAATTAGAAAAAGCATGAGAAACAAATAGGGAAAGAGGGAAACATGAATAGGAATAAGAGAGGCTCATTAATGAGAAACAGTTAGAACATTATAGAGTGGACAGATGTAATGTGCTTTGTGTGTGAGGGAGGGTGGTAGTCAAACAACTTCAGATATTATGACTCATTTAATTATTCCTAATGTTGGAGTAACATTATAATGAGGGGGGGGGGTTGTTGATATAAACCTGACTTGAATTAAAAAGTACACAGTCAGAAAAATCCCTTTTAATTCAGCATCTGTGTACGCATATTGTACAAGTAATTACCATTTTCCTTCCATAGGGAATTTAGATAGTGTGAAAGTGCATCACGCAAGGTTAAGTCAATCCATATTTATGGACCTGGCAAACTTTTATACATGCCATAACGTCAGCCGAAATGCATAAGTGGGTGGGAGCAGCAGAGAGGAGTGGATGAGATGGAGGGAAGCTGCATATGTTAAATCAAATGCCGTCGAGTTAGGGATGAAGTGACGTGGGTGAGAGGGAGAGATAAAAAACTTACGAATTTATTTAAATCTGTGCATGTGTGTGTGTGCATGGAGTCGTTTATGCATGCAAATGTGGAAGTCTATAGACAGAAGTGAAAAATCAGTATGCTACAAGCTAACTGAAATCCAATGTGCTTGCCTTCTTCTGTGCTTTATGTAAATGTGAATGAAAGCTAAAACTAAGAATGCAATCTGTCAGAGGAGAAGTCCAGATGTGAATGCGCTGCCTCTCGGCCTCCTGTTTCAATCGACTTCTAACTAAATTCATAACCACAGCAATGAAACCTCGCAGTCACCTGCTGTCTTCAGTTTCCGGTAATAAAACACGGTATTGCAGAAATGTAGAAGGTGCAAAGGGCCAGTTGCCTGCATGGGGACACCACATATGTGTTGGCATCCCCCCCAAAAGGTAATTTCTAGTCTGGTAGCTTATTATCCAAAAGGAGACCTGGACCCTTGAGGATCAATGAAAATGGAAGAAAGAAGGAACAGAAAATACTGGCATATTAGGCAAAAAAAGATGAAAGCAGGAGGATAATAAAGAGAGATAAAGGCAGTCAGAGCAGAGAGGTGAAAGATACATGGACGAGTAAAGGACAGTTTTGATCAAAAAGGTTTGAAGATGGAGTGGTAAGCAAGCAGGCAATAGGTCAAATAGCCAAGTGTGAAAGGGATGCAAGGCTGTAGTGATGTGGTAATATATACATTTTACTGTCATTATGACCGCTCACATTTCTTACTGCATCAAAAAGATTTCATAATGTCAGCGTGATAAATCTAATCACACATGCTGTCACCAGTTTAAATGTCCATGTCCATGTCCATGTAAAAATGTTGGCTGATGCTGTACACAGCTCAGAAGTCCATTTCATTCTATTCAGTTCAATTTTATTTGTATAACGGCAAATCATAACCGAAGTTAGCTCAGGACATATTTCATATAAAGCATGTCTAGACCCAGTATGCAACTCAATAGATTACCACTGTTACCATGGCAATAACAACTATAATAGTCGATATATGACTAATGTAAAATATGAAGAAATATGACTAGTATATAGTGTACTTTTTCTAGTACTGCAGGGCAGGTGAATGATGACGTCTTTTATACTGGCTCTTATTAAGGTTCATAAAAAATAAACGTTAGATATGATTAAAAAGAAAATACTCAAGTACTTGAGTCAAAAAAACAACAACCTTTAAATGGTGAACTTATCAAACGATAAAATATAAACTTACCATGAATATATGTGACTATACAACTTATTTTCTATCACAGCTTCCTTTTTGTTCTCAGCAGAAAGATATGAATTATCACTTACAATGATACCTAACCTACAGTATTTGTATCATTCATCACTTCCAAATCTATTGTGCTTTTGTTTTCTTTCTTCATCATACAGCAATATAAATACACAATTTCAACTTATGAGAGAATACGCCTGCAGCTGACTGGTTTAAAGCTGGAAGAAAATATAATAATAGAGCTGCAGTTTTTCCAGTTTAGCAAAAGTAGGAGTACTTTCTCACTTTTTCAAAATGTGACATAGCTATCTTGTGTAGTTCTGGTTGAATGAAGCTGCTGTCGGAGAATAAATTATATTAAAAATACACTACAAGACAAAACTGACTCAAATATACAATCTACAGTCTACAGTAGCTGTTAATAAAATGTGTTAAACTGGTTAAGGTTGGATTAATCGTTTTAAATTTGCCCTAACAGCACTTAATTATATCTATTACATAATCAGAATTTATGTGGATGTAAAAAAGTGAAAAGTTTCAAACAACTTTGTACACAATTTCAAACGACATCAACATGTTTACAAGTTTCAATAGGTTAAACTCTAAAATCTTTAAATGCCTCTGCTGAATTAACACAGTGTCGGAGGCCGGTTGTAGGGACAGTTTCTCTAATTTCCCTCGAGAGATCAACCGTCGATCCTATTTAAATCCCACTCCCACGTGTGACGTGGCAAAGTTTTAGTCACAGGCAGAGACAATTCGCAGCTTTCGTCACCTCTGGAGGGGGTCAATGAAATTAAAACACCCCGCGGTGCCTAGTCTGACCTCAATCTGTCACTGCAACTTGAACAGAGAGTAAAGCAGGGAGAAAGACGGAAAGAAAGACAAAGAGAGAGGGATGCTTTGGAAGGAATGAGGGGAGATCTTTTCTGATCCTCGTGGACAGGAGAGATGTGAAGACTAAAAGGAACGTAGGTGAGTTGACAGAGGAGGATCAAAGGATCAGTGAAGATAGAAAGTGAGAGGGAACACGTTGAAACGGAGAGGATAAAGGCCTATAAACCGAAAGCAACAGACTTTGTGATTGAGATAGACGATAAGAAATCCTTTGTAAGCAAGAGTCGACTCTCTGATGGCCAAGACAGCACAGAGAGGCAGCAAGTGAAGGTGACAGAAATAGCAAGAGAGCCTTGACAGCAAACATTTACCGGAGTGTTTTGCGGTACATGTCTTCCTCTGTGATTCCACAGTAGGTGAGCGTCTCGTTCCACACAGGGTTAAGCGTGTTGCGAACAGTCTTGGTTTTCAATTTATTTGCCTGTGCATCAAAACAAAGAGGAGATGGAAAAATGTTAATATAACTCAAAGCTTTTTTCTCAAAGCTTCAAACAGCAAACAATCTTTTTGTGTCTACAAGGTCATTTTGTTTTAGTGCAGATTTACAGGTCTGCATTTGCACTTTCAGAATGCAGCTCAAAATTATAGCTAGAATGAAATATGCACTCAAACATCCTGGGCAACAGGTTATTGAAGGTCTTTTTTTTGTAGAATAAATGCAAGGACAAAACCATGTGTTGATAACAAAATCAGACCTTGCAGGCTCCTGGCAGCAGGTGCAGCTTGACGTAAGGGTCAGCCAAACCGTTGAAATCCATCGGCTTCAGACCCTAATAGAGACAGAGAGATAAGATATAAGACAGAGATATGAAATAATTGGTGGAGAACATTGTGAAAGCTGCCAACACCAGTAATGAATTTTTAAGTGGTTACCAGACTGAGAGGTGAATGGTTCATTTACAAATTAAATCTAAAGAACAGTGGGGGGACTTTTAATTTGACAGACAGTTTCAGTTGACCAGTGAGCCACATAATGAATAGTATGGTGAATATTAGGTAATTAGCACTACAAAGTACAATACTTGTCAAGACATTTTACTAACAAAAATGTCAACCTCATGGTTGCCCCAGAGGAAAAGTAAGAACAATTTATTCTCTAGGGAACATATCTGAATTAATATGGCAATACATCCAGTAATTATATATATATAAAGTTATTTCAATCTGGACCAAAGTGGTGAACCCTAAAACTGCAATGCTAGCATGGCTAAAACAGGAGTTGTTTAAGGCTTACAGCTTTGTGAGTCACTGGTTGAACACATGAATATAACCAGTGAGGAGTGGTGCCTGGAGAAGCGAGTATATCCTTAATTTATGCCCCAATTTAAAAAAAGCAAAGTCCAGCAAAGGGTAAACGCTCTATTATAAACACATTAGTTTTGCATATTTAGGTCTAAAATGGGCCAGTAGTATTTGCACACTGTCTCTTAACTTCAGCATTAGCCACAGAAGAGGTGCACATATTCAATCAATAGTGACCCACAGACAAGTGAGACAACTACACAATGTTATTCTATGTTATGTCTTCGTCATCCTAGGAAAAAAAGATCACTACTGAATTATACCATCAGAGGGGACTTAGAAGTGGGTATACCCAGTGCTAACTGAACAATAAGTGGGTATAGAATATGATGGACACAAATGTAAATGAAAACTTGTTTTCATTAGAATTTACTTTCTCTAGCTACAAGGTCAAAAAGTCTGTGTTTGCTCTAGTGGACTTTTTTCAGAGGACAGTATTTACCTTTGCTCTCAGGACTGTGCAGCGTAAGGAGCTGGTGGCTCTCTCATACAGTAGATCAAACTCTAACGTCCCCAAGGAGGCTGGAAGACAGTTAATGAAATAACATTATTAAACTGTGTCTTACTTTCATAATTGCTATTAGCTGATGACTTCATTACATTGTATAGAAAATGCTGACAGGGAGACATACAATTATGGACTATCAAGAAAAACTGTCTGCCTTGTCTTAATGTTGACACATTTTGGAAAATAACCTTTTTCCTCTGCTGAAAGTTAGATGAGAAGATTGACACTGCTCTCATATTTGTCTGGTAAATATAATGCTATCGCCAGAAGCTGGTTAGCTTAGCTTAACATAGACTGGAAACAGCTGCCCTGGCTCTGTCAAGTTATATCTTGTTTGTTACTACTGACAACAAGAAGTGGCTTTGCTCGGCCAAAAGGTTAAGGGTCATCCGCACCAAGAACAATAGCTATAAAAAAAACCTATAACGATGAGAGCATCCGCACTGATTATTAATAATAAACGTTGTGTAAACAGTGGTCTTAATGTGCTGCACGCTTCAGCTGTGTCAGCAGATTATTGGAAAATGGATGACGTTATTGATGAGCTGTTACTGCTCTATGTTCTTCAAGACCCTCAAAGACAAGAGGAGACTCCAACACTCTGTTACAAGAGCTGTCATCTTTAGAAAACTACTGGTAAAAAAGAGGACATCATTAAGGACTTCAAAGACCCCATTTGGCAGTATGTCTCAGGTGAAATTACTTTTCATTTTCTGTGTAATTTGCAGCAATATTATGCTATATAAGCAATTAGTAAGTTACGATATTGTTCACCACTGTCGTTGTTGTCTTAGTTGAGGAGTGTACTTTGCCATCCACTTGTGTTAGAGAGTGTTTTAAGAAGATATATTAAGAGTTGTTGTTATAGTAACTGTTTTTGGTGTAGATACCCCTCAGGCAGACATGAGAGTGGTATCAGTCCTCTAACCAAACTCTCTGCAGAGACTATAATTCCCAATATGACAAACTATTCATTTGAGACCACCTGCTCAAGGTTCTCTTTTAAAGCTGAATCAGATGGAAACATTTAAAAACAGCTGAACACAAAGTTTTAAACCAACTCATTAAGTTTTAGTGTTAGCATTAGTTTATGCTGGCTGCAGATGAAAACATCTGCTAGAGATAGTTTTCATTTCAGCCGACAAAGTCAACAGTTGTCGGCTATGAGGAGCCTGTTTTGGTTCAATCTGAAATCAAAGAACCATTATTAAAAATATCACTAAGAATTTCAAAGATAAATCTTCCACCATCATCACTTCAAACTGCATTTGTGCTGTGCGAGAACATAAAGCTTGACAGGTGTAGCAACAATACCTAAGCAAAGGGTCAGTTTTGATTTCTCTGAAGCATTCTGGGCTTTTTCTCCAGATTAACATCTGTCTTGAGTTTTTTTTATTCTCTGACTCAAGCAGCTTTTGTGAAACAGGGTTATTACTCTCATGTGACTCACTGTTATCGTCGCTGTCACAGCTGTCAATCTCGATGGAGGTGTCCATGCTACTCATGGCTGACAGGGAGCCCCCTCCGCCCGCCGCCCCTGGTAACAGTGGTGACAACAGGCTGCTGCTCCCCCCTCCACCTCCTCCCCCACCAACAGCCCCTCCACCTTGACCTGCGCTGCCAGGGCTGAGTGCCGTGGGAGCTGCCACCTGATTGGGCGAGAGCGGCTCAGAGAAGGAGGAAGTGGGTGACAGGCGAGGGAAGTAGGCAGAGATTTGACGGATGGGGCGGATGGGGCCCGGACATACGTCGATGGCCATGTGCTCCTGGATGGTGATGGCTAAACTTTTTCCTTTACGCACAGTCATAGGGCTAGAGACGGAGATAGAGGAGGAAGGGTTAGCAAGTTCAATCACTTTTCAGCAATAAAACTATTCAAACTTCGGAAAGCATTCATCCGAAACATGAGCGAAGACACTGATCCACAGATACAAGCCAATTTCACCTCTGCTATTCCAAGCGAAACAAGGTGAGCTTAGTAAGATGGTTGATGATAAATAAGATCTTTCCCTGTGTCTGGCCATCTCTGAGATATCATCACAACTAATAGGAGTTTCTGATTTGCCATATAGTCAAGAAGGAGGACTTGTGATAGGAAGCGTATATCTCAATCTACTCTCACACTGAAACCTCCTTCAACATAATTAGAACTCTTAAAAAGAAAGACACTACTCATAAAATGACAAAATACCGCAGAGGATGTGCACAAATTTGCATTTCAATTGAATACATCTGAATAAACTCAAGCATATCAGGGAGGATAAAAGATAATAGACAATAGGGGTCTCCCCCGATTCCTAATCATCCTTTATGAAATTGCAGTGTGTGTGAGGTGTTGAGGCATGCATGTTATCTAAAGTGCTTAACAATCCTCCAAAGACGGACAGGTAATTATGGGATGAAGTCTTTACAGGCAGGAACGCTCTTCAGTACACAGATGGAAAAAAGAAGTCCTGATGATTATATAAAGTTGTGGTAGCAGGGAGTAGAGTTGACCACAAGGCTGATGTGTCTGCTCTCTTCCCGAAATAAAAAAGAGGGGGCTGGATTACAAATATCTCACAGCTTTTGTTTTCTAAAGACAGCAGGCCTTGAGGGGGCGTTCTGTCCTCAATACTGAACAAATCCCCCCCTTCTGCTCTCTCTGCATTAATCGATTGAAACTGCGAAGTGAATATTTGCACTGTGAGTATTTGCACTTCCTCTGTGTTGTCTGTAGGATGAACGTCTATGACATATTAAAATATCAAAATGAGGAGAATCTCGGGACCCAGAGAGGGAGGTTTAAATACGACAGGAATATAGTGGCCATATTGACTTTATTCTGGTGACTGAAGGGCCTGAAATTAATCCCCATGAACAGAACTAAGTGGAAAATCAGGAATGAGGACTTTTTGACGATCCTTATGCATGTCATTAAAGGAGTGGATGATCTCAAACCTGCATCCATATTAAAGTAATAGTTCCGCAGACACTTATTTGCTTTCCTGCTGGAACTTAGATGAGACAATTGATACCAATCTAATGACTGACTAATTACGGTGGAAATAGTCCCACATTTTTGTTACATGTTAACATAGTAATGAGATTTAGAAGTGGTGGAAGGT